GGTCTTATGGGGCTGGCCCGGTGGCCTGGTGGTGGTTAAGTTCACGTGTTCTCTTTGGAGGCCTGGGGTCCATGGGTTTGGATCCTGGGCGGGAACCTATGTACTACTCATCAATCCATGCTGTGGCGGCATCCCATATACAAAATAGTGGAAAACTGGGAATGAATGTTAGCTCAGGGCTGATCTTCCTCACAAAAAATAAAAATAAAAATAAAATAGTCTTCAAGTGTAAATCAAGGAATAGGAATAACTTACTTTAAAGCAGATCATTTTTTAAAACCACAAAACACTGATGTAATTTTTTCAAATCCAATTTGTTAAAAATTTTCAAAAAAACTTACATCTATTAAAAACCTGCGGTTTATTTTTATTACAGTGTTACAGTGTGAAAAGGCCTTGATACGCTCAGCTCTGTTTAAGCCTAGTTTCGGCCCAGTTATCCAAAGTTTCCAAACTTCTAAAAGCAAGTTGAACCACTAAAAATTAATGTATCCACTAGAAAGTTATTTAAGAAAACAAAATTCTATAGTGCTACTCATTCATAACAACTTCCATTGTGGAACTTATCCAAAATTAACTTCAAACGGGGAAAAACAAGTATTTATCAAGAAGCTTATATACACATAGGTAAATCGAACTGTAATTTGGAAATTATTTCTCTTACTACAAAGAAGAATTATATAAACTTTTGATACATACACTTCAGATCAGGAACATTTCTGAACATTTAAGGCACCCATGAAAAATTTTATCAATGGATAATTACAGCAGCTCCCTCCCCCAGGCTGGGAATGCTAACTCCAATTTTCCACACCCAGTAAGCCTTCCTATCTCCCAAAAAGAACAGCAAGTCGGAGACTCAGCTGGGGAGCCCTTTTTTCCCCCATAAACATTCCAGCAGGTCAAATATTTAGCAATGAGGACATTCAAGGAAACTCCCCTCCTCCTTCCCCAGCAGGGAAGATAGGCCCAGAGAGCAGTGGCTCCCTACCAGACTGGTTTCCAGGCTTTGCCACTTATCTAGGCCAAGAGCCTTAACAAACTCAAGCATTTGCTGAGGTCCTACTATGCTCATGGCATTGCTCCAGGCACTGGGGATGTAGCGGTGAATGAGCCAGACACAACTCCTGCTCTCAAGCTTACAGCCTAATGAGCAAAAAAGGAAAAAAGTGTTCATGCTCTTAACCTTGTAGGTAAGATGTTCCAATTCGAAGAGACTTCATGGAAACACGCACTGCTAAAGTGCAGCAGTGATGGGCATGGGTTTGGGATCAGACTGACCTAGATATGAAGTGCTGCTCTCAGTAATTATCAGTTGAACGAATGGCCTTACTAACTCTCTGACCTTGGGCAAGTTACCTGAGCTCTTGTGCCTCAGTTTCCTCAGAACTGTGGTGAGGATTACATCCACAAAGCACAGCCCTCAGCACGCCCTGAGTCTCACTCAGCACATGGAAGTTACTGCTCTGAGAGAGAGCAGAGACTAGCCAGAGGGCAGCATTCTATCTTCTACTGAAATTCTTCATTCTGGCCTACTATTAATAAAAAACCAAAATCCCCCTCCCCCCCAAATACCACACAGTTACAACTTTCAAATATATTACTTACTTTCCTGCAGCTCTGGCCCCAACTTCCAAAGTCCTGGCAACAAAGTAAAAGGAGTGCTGCCCTGCGTCCTCCAGAGGGGAAGGCGGTGGGGCTCCTCCCACTTCCCCGCCCACCACTCCCTGCCCGCCACTCCCTCTTCTTTCAGCCCCAAGCCAGAAGAGGAGCCAGGACCAGGCTGAGGAGGGGGACCACTTCGCATTATAAAGCACATTACAAAGTTACTGAAGCAAAGGATGTGGCCGCATTCCTTCTTACCTTGAGACCCAGGGGCAGGACCTTCCTGGTGAGCTGGTGAGAGGGACCACTTTCGTCTCTCCCTGCCTAGGTTATCAGAGCCTGCAGCACTCAAGCCTCAGAGCCCAGCCAGCTTTCCTCTGCCTTGTTCTCAGGCACACGCATCCACCCCTGGGACCTGGGGCTGGGGTGGGGGAAGACTCAGGTATTCCCAGATTTCCCAGTCATAATTACCATCTCGCTAGCACCTAATCCCAAAATCTTTCTTTTTTTCCTGAGGAGGACTGCCTGAGCTAACATCCATTGCCAATCTTCCTCTTTTTCTATGTGAGTCACTGCCACAGCGTGGCCACTGACAGAGGAGTGGTGTAGGTCTGAGCCCAGGAACCAAACCTGGGCCACTGAAGTGGAGTGCCCTGAACTTAACTACTAGGCCACAGGGTTGGCCGCCTCCCCCAAAAATCATTTTTAATAAGAAAATTAGATTTTTTTTCAGGTAATATCCAGCTCTAATTCCACAAAAACTTTCCCATTATGATTCTTTGCAACTACCAATTTGAAAAAGCACACATCTGACAGTGGCCCAGACATGAGGAACATAGTCAAAATGGCTTAAAAAAACAAAGTGATACCATCTAGGAATGAATCCTGGAAACAGACTCAGTAAATGTAGAGGCCTGTAACAAGGACACTCGCTGGCAGCACTGTCTACAAGCATCAACCTGGAAGTAACCCACATGTCCTGCATTAAGGAGTTCATTAAATCAATTATATAGGAACACCTTGCAGCCATTTCAAGATCAAGGCAGAGCTACCAGATTTCATCAAACCTAAGATGTCATCATTTATAAATCATATCATTATTATTTTATATATGCTAAGAAAAACTCTGCCATATAATGATGACCTGCCATCACATGACATATCCCAATTTCAGGCTCCCTCAAGGCTTTCCTGTCTCATTTCTCTGCCTCAATCCATCTGGGACACAAAACACCCTTGGAACAAGTCCCTTTGTGCCTTCCCTCCTTTCACTTTTTCTAGAAATTACCCATATGTAAGATCCACTGTTTCTGGGGCTAGCCCAGTGGCAGAGTGGTTAAGTTTGCACATTCTGCTTCAGCGGCCTGGGGTTCGCCAGTTCGGATCCCAGGTGCAGATGTGGCACCACTTGGCAAGCCATGCTGTGGTAGGCGTCCCACATATAAAGTAGAGGAAGATGGGTATGGATGTTAGCTCAGGGCCAGTCTTCCTCAGCAAAAAGAGGAGGACTGGCGGCAGATGTTAGCTCAGGGCTAATTTTCCTCAAAAAAAAAAAGAAAGATCCACTGTTTTGATGAAAACATCTTGTGCCCCTTCAGTTCCCAAGGAGCCTTTCCTGAGCTCCTGCAGCCTCCGCTGTCATTGCTCGTCACCAGCTTTGTATGCTTTCCCTTTCCATGTGAGTAGTAAGCAGAGGCTGGACCTATCTTCACATTCACCACAGGGCACAGTACAGGGCCACAACACCACCATCACCATGAAGAAACCACACCTGTCAGGAACTGTTCTGAGCACTTCACAAACAGTAACTCATTTAAGCCTCACTATAACCCCAGGAGGGCTCCCATCCTCAGAAAGGGTAAACTGTGGGAAAGAGAGGTTATGTGACTTATAGGCTAGTGACTAGTAAGTGGCAGAGGCAGGACTTGAACCCAAGCAGTGTGGATACAGCCCTTGCTACTGACCTCTATAGGACACTCCCTCTCTATAAATGACTGCTTTGGACACAGCAGACATTTAAATTTTTTTTATTTTTAAAGATTGGCCCTGAGCTAATATCTATTGCTAACCTTTTTTTTCCTTCTTCTTCTCCCAAAAGCCCCCAGTACATAGTTGTATATTCTAGTCATACGTCCTTCTGGCTCTGCTTTGTGGGATGCAGCCTCAGCATGGCTTGATGAGCAGTGCTAGGTCCATGCCCAGGATCTGAACCAGGGAAACGCTGAGCTGCCAAGGTGCAGCGCATGAACTCAACCACTCAGCCATGGAGCCGGACCCTAGCTTTATTAATTTTTAGTTGAAAATACACATACAGTGAAAAAAATTCATACCGTACAAAAGAGCATGCAAGAAAAAGGTAGGTCACTCTAACAGCCTAGATTTCTGAGGTCTCATCCCAAAGGCAACCATTGTTTCTTTTCTGTCATTCCAGAAATTTTTTTCTGCACTTAGAAACCTATTTCACGTGTCTCTCTCTCTGTTTCTTTCTTACACAAACGGGCACATATACACGTTGTTCTGCATTTCGCCTTTTTCACTGAACGATATTTCTCTGAGCCTGATGCATATCTGCACCATGCTGTTTTTATTCAATTCTAAGATACATATATTTTCACATTTTAACCCTGGATGGTTTCATGAAGTCAGAGGATCCTGGTGGGCTTGGATTTCATCAGGAAATCGGAGTCACAAAAGGCTTTTAAATGTACAAAACACATGGAGGGGTGGCCTTGCAGCAGTCTGCAGGCTGAACCAAGAGGCAGAGAGACCTTCGAGGTGACATGTGACATGTCACTTCTCCTGTAACACTAAGTACCTACATCATAGGGTTGTCGTGAGGACCAAACCAGGTAATATGCATACAGCACTTAGCACCAAACCCTGCTAGCCCAGTGAGTCTAAGGGACTGACATAACACCTAACACACTATTAGTGCCCATCAGATATTATTATCTCTTGAAGAGCTGGCCCCACTTTCCTCTCCCATCTCATTTCTCTCTACTCCCTCATTCATACCTGTCCATCCTTTACCCTAAATCCCCTGCAGCTCATACACCTCATGCTTGCTTATCTCTATACCTCTGTACTTGTCATTGCCCTGCTTAAAAGTCCTCTCCCTGCGGGGGGCCGGCCGGGTGGCGCAGTGGTTAAGTGCACACATTCTGCTTTGGCAGCCTGGGGTTTGCCGGTTCGGATCCCGGGTGGGGACATGGCACCGCTTGGCAAGCCATGCTGTGGTAGGCGTCCCACATATAAAGTAGAGGAAGACAGGCATGGATGTTAGCTTAGGGCCAGTCTTCCTCAGTAAAAAGAGGAGGATCGGCAGCAGTTAACTCAGGGCTAATCTTCCTCAAAAAAAAAAAAGTCTTCTCCCCCTTATGTGGTGCTGGACTCACTTTTTCACACAGTAAGCAGCTCAGGCATGGCATTCTCCAGGAAGTCTTCCCTGATAACCGCAACTGGATTCTCTGGACACGCAGTTTGGGAAGAGCCCATCTGTCATGACTTCTCACCTTCTGGTTCGCAGTTTTGTCAGTGCACCCAGGAGCAAGCAGGTTCAGGGGGACTGATTCAAGCTACCTAAGCTCAAAGATGATTGATGGATTAACCAGAAGGCCAGTTACTAAGTTTATAGCTCTCCTGATGAAAGCAAACACTTACTGAGCCAGGGGCCAGGCAGCAGAGAGGAAGGTGCTACCATTATCCCCAATCTACAGATGGGGAAATGGAGAGATTAGCCAGCATCCGAAGACCGGGATCTGACCAAAGCAATCTGGATGCAGAGATCTCAACCACTCACATTCCTTCCTGGACAGGAAATCTCCATGTGAAGCCATGCTCTAATTAGAAGGTATCAGGAGCACGAAAGCCAAGGAAGAGAAAGATTCTCTCGGCTAGAGGCATCAACAGAGATGCAGCCATCTGTGTGGTAGGGCAGAGGCCAGTGGAGGACTGCACACAGCTCCTCCACTCAGGGCCCCCAGACAGCGCTACAGCCACTGCTTCCAATTCCTCTCTTGGACCCACCACTCCAATTTCCACAGACACCATTCCAACCCTTTCCTTCTAGAAATGCAGTCTTTCTCCTGATGATACGAAATTAAGTTTAAACATTCTGGCTACAAACACATTCCAATCATGCCTTCCTGGGGTTATAGCTGGGTCAGTTCAATTGAACTTAAAAGTTTTCCCTGAAATTCTCCAAATTACATTTATAAAATGTCTCTTGGCTTATATCTCTTCTATAGATAGCTGACTTGCACAACATTTACTCTGATTTCACTCTCAGATGATCCCTGATTCATTCATTCATCAAATACTTAACTGCTCCCAGAACACTGTGATCCAGGCCCTGGAGAAAACAGCAGTGAACCTCTGAAACCTGGCAGAGTTTATTATGTGTCTCCCTCTTCTAAGCATTTACGCTACTTTACGGCAAATGCTTATTTGGCTGTCTTCCCCAGGCTGTGCCTTTCAGCTCTATATTCCAATTTTCCAGTATAGTAACTGGCCCATACTGTGAGTACTCCACAAATGTAAGCTGACTAAATTCATTGGGTGCCATCTTTCTCATTTGGGGTGGGACCTGACTATGTCTGAAGTCCCTCGGAGAAAGGTACAGAGTTTAAATCAAGCTGTACAGATGGAAAGCAAATGGCAAATACAGCTTGAACCAAGAAGGAAGATAAGATGTGATATGTCAGCTGGTAAGAACTGTAGAGGCATGAATGACAAGCCACCTTGGGAAGCAATGAAGGGATTCATCACCTGGAGAAAGTATGGCCTTAGGAACATGTCCAGAGGTCAGTTAGAGGGAGATAAAAAAATGACTTGCGGCAAAGTCTGCATTGGGGTCACTGAGTGGAGGCAGAATGAAGGGGTGAAGTGGTCCTCTGCCTGGAAGTCACATACTGGATGAGTGAGAAGGAGCATGTATTGGGGGAAAGGGGTAGAGACACGAAGCTAGGACTTAGAAAACGCTCCCAGGCAGACGTGGGAAGAAGAGAAGCAGCAAAGACAATGAAAAAGTACAGTCACAAAGCTAAGAAAATGACCACAATAACTCCAAGCCAAGAAGGCGAACCAAGAGGAGATTCACAACAGCAAGAAAGTGTGGCTCACCAGGCCAAATATTTACGGTCAAGGTCAATGAGTAAGCAGCAGCCACTGCAGCTATCAATCAGGGGACCCTAGAGAGGACAGTTTCAGTAGAGACAAACACATTTGGAGCACAACCCTTGATACATTCAGGCTCTCTGTGCACTTACATTAAGAGAAAATGGCATCCCACTTTGACTCCAAAATAAAGCAATTCCTTATTCAAACCAACATCCTTTGTTCATCTAGGAAGGTCATCATTTTTCACTAAGGACAAGGTCACAGAAGGAAAACAGAGAGCGTGGACATTCAACCCATATGATGCCCCGGCCTACTCTCAGGTACAAATTATTTTCCTATAGACTTGCAAGGCCCACTTGACATAAAGCTTCTGGTGTATTGTATTAGGCTGCAGGTTTTCAACAGATTAAACACCTAGTAAAATTTTCAGCAGAATCATGTGCAACTCGTTTAAAATTTTTTTTAAAGGATGCTGAAAACACGTTGTCTTCCAAAAATCCAGAGATAATTTTAGATTGAAAAATCCAAGCTTGCCAAGGGAATCTGAGAACTTTTCTATCTTGGTCTCCAATGCTAACCTACGTATTCGTGTGCAAAAATAGAGGAAGATTAGAATCTCAAATGCCAGACTGAAAAGTTGCCACAACAAACCTGAACTCTTCATATGGAGTTTGTTATCTTGTCAGCAAGGAAACAAATGAAACAGCAATAAACTCTTTACTTTAAAAGATAAGAAGAAAAAGAAATCTCAAACACAAAATATTTCCTGGACTTGTAAAGGAAAATGATTTAAAAAAACGATACTGTGAATGGAATTTAAAAACGGCATACAAAAAATCTAAATATCAAATTTGTAAGTAGTCCTTTACAAACACACACTTAGAACTTTAAGTCTAAAATCCGATAAAACGGCAGTTACAGTTTATTCAACAAAATTGGGACAACTAACCATTTGGAAAATATTTCATATCTTAAACCAAAACTAAGTTATAAGTAGATTAAATAGCTAAAAGTAAAAAAATAAAATAGAACCATGAAATGAGCAACATGGATGGAATTTTTTATAACATTGGAATGGAGAAAAAATTTTCAAACATGTCAACAAAGGAAAAAATACTACTGTATTTTAAAAATAAATGTTACCTTTGACCTCATTTGTAAATTCACCCTAAAACAACAATCTGACAAATCCTTTTGGCAGAATTGTCTTGTGACGAGTTGGAAACAATCTACAAGTTCATCTGCAGGGCTAGGTTAAATATGGTATACAATGGCATACTATGAAGTCCACAAAAGTGATAATACAAATCTGTATTTATTGATATCACCAAAATGTCAGCAACCGCTGTCACCGAGTGGTAGGTTGGCAGATGATTGCCATTTTAAAAAGTATCTCGTCACAATACTTTTTGTGCTGTCTGGAATGTGAGGAGAGGAGAATGAATTGCTTTTACAATGGGGGTGAGGGGTGGGAACAAGCTATTTTCAAATCCGGGCCCCCCAAGCTGAATGTCTATCTGGGAAATTTTGTAAGGAGTATAAACAAAATTCTTATCATGCCAAACAGGCATGCTCCTTTCCTCGCACCACAGGGAGCAGGAAGACACACCCCTGGCCCCGCGCTCGCCCCACGGGCGTGGGTCCTCCATCCGGAGGGTCCCCGCGGAGCCTCCCCCGGCCCCTCTGCGCCAGCGAGCTCCGCAGGGCCGCAAACCCGCGTCCCCCGGCGGCCCGGCACGGCGGGGCCGGCGGGCAGCCGCGGGGCGGCGTGAGGGCCGCGTCCCCAGGCGGACCCCGGCCGCCCACAGGCCGCCGTGCCACCACGGACGGCTCCGCGGGCTTCCGGGAGCGGGTGCCGGCGCCAGCCCGACCTCCACGGCCCCGGCGGCCGGAGGGAGCGGCCCCCGCCCCTCCCGTCCGCGTCCGCGTCCGCGTCCGCAGGGTCCCCTCCGCGCCCCGGGTCCCGGGCACGAGGAGGAGGCCCCTCCGGGCTTCCGTCCGCCCGGCCAGCGCCCCCAGAGCCCGGCGTCCTCCACAGCGGACGGGCAAGGGGCGGGAGCCCACGGCCCCGCGCCCTGCGGCCCCGAGCGCAGCGGCGCCGGCGAGCTCGTCCAGCCGCTTGGCCCGGCCGCGGCCCACCGCCCACCGCCCACCCGCCGAGCCCGCCCGCCCGGGCCAGGCAGCGCCCGCTCGCGCCCGCTCCTCACCTGCGACGCACCCCGGCCCCCAGTGCACCGCCGGGACCGGCTGTGTACACCGGAAGTGACGTCGCCTGGCCGGCCCCGCCCCCGCCCCAGGCGGACGCCGGGGTGGCCTCGGAGCGACCGGCTCGGAGCGGGAGTCGAGCTGCGCGAGGCGGGGGGAAGCCTGAAGCTGCCTTGTTAGGGCTCGAGGACCTCCGTAGGGGACAGCTGCGCGGGGAGCTGAGGACAGGCGGCCAGAGCCCGCAGGGCTACCCCGTTCCTCTACTACGGCTTGGCCCCCGGGTGGGAGGGGTCAGCTGCGTCTTCGTGGATTTATTATTAAAATTGATTATGGAAATATTGAGTGCTTACTGGATGCCAGGCCCTGACAGGCACTGTGGGAGCCGGTAATGCCCTCCCACATGAGTTTATTCTCTAGTGGTGGAAACACAATAAAATGTCATAACTATGCATGATGATATAGTGCCAATTATGACAAGTGGTAGGAGGAGAAAGTGGAAGAGGGAGGGCAAGTCCCCCGACATGGTGAGGAGGGTGATCAGGGAATTCACGCCTAGGAAATGAGCGGGAGTTGAGGTCCTAAAGGGGAGGAGGAGAAAAAAAATTTGGAGAAGCAGGGAGGAAAGGACGTTAAGGCAGAAGAAACAGCAGGTGTCTTCAATGGCTCTGTGTTGTTCAAGAACCCAGGGTGGTGAGAAGATCTTAATGCGAGAGCGTTGGGAAACTAATGAGACTTAAGCAGGGGTGATTTTTACCATCCTTGTATGTTTAAAGGAATTACTTGGGATACATTGTGGAGAAAGACTGCAGAGGGGAGGCAAGAGCGGATGTAGGTTGGTACGCGCATGTTCATAACATTATTCATAATAGTTAAAAAGGAGAAAGCAACCCAAGTGTCCATCCATGGATGAATGGATAAACGAAATGTGGTATGTCCATACAATGGAATATTATTCAGCCTCACAAAGGAAGGAAATTCTGACACCTGCTACAAATGGGTGAACAGTGAAGGCATTATGCTAAGTGAACTAAGCCAGTCACAAAAGGACAAATATTCTACAATTCTACTTATATGAGGACCTAGAGTATTCACATTCACAGAGACAGAAAGTAGAATCGTGGTTACCAGAGACTGGTGAGAAGGGAACATGAGAGGTTTGTATTCAATAGGAAGAGAGTTTCAGTTTGGGAAGATGAAAAAGTGATGGTTGTGCAACAACGTGAATATACTTAATGCCACAAAACTGTACACTTAAAAATGGTTGAAATGGTAAATTTTATGTATATTTTACCACAATAAATAAACAAATACGTTTAAAAAGAGAATAGATGTAGAAATCAGTTAGAAGACTATTTTGGTTGTCCAAGCAAAAGGTGATTCTGACATAGACCTCTAAAATTTTCTGTTCTTTAACATCTATCAGAAAAAAACTTTTTGGGACCGGCCCGGTGGCGCAGCGGTTAAGTTCACACGTTCGCTTCTTGGCGGCCCAGGGTTCGCCGGTTCGGATCCCGGATGTGGACATGGCACCGCTTGGCACGCCATGCTGTGGTAGGCATCCCACATATAAAGTAGAGGAAGATGGGCACGATGTTAGCTCAGGGCCAGGCTTCCTCAGCAAAAAGAGGAGGACTGGCAGTAGTTAGCTCAGGGCTAATCTTTCTCGGGAAAAAAAAAAAAGGTTTTGACTATCACCTAGTTTATTTATAAATTGACTATCACCTAATTTATATATGCACTACACTACTAATATACTATTTATATTATAAAACATACCCAAAAAGAATTTTAGAAGATTAAAAAACAGTATATATAGAAGTTCTCATATTTTCCCCCAATAGGTTACCTTCCTACACCAGTGGGTATGTGACACACACTTTGAAAGCCGCTCACGGACTACGGTAGTGGCAATGGGGAATAAAGTCAGTGATGAAATAGATATGGAGGGTCAAGAAGAGGAGGGAATCCTAAATCTCTCCTGGGCCTTGGGGATGAGCCACCGTTGTAGTGACACAGTGTTGGGAAGCCTCTGAAGAAGACCACATTTGGAAGGGTGGAAGATAGGAAGAAGGCCATGAGTGCCATTGTCAACTTGACATCAAAGAGGAAGCACCAAGTAGGCAGTTGGGGATGGGGGTCTGGAGCTTAGGAGAGGGCTGGAGATGTCACTGGGGCTTAGGTCATTATTGAAACCGTGGGTAGGAGCTGAAGATGGGTATAGATCGAAGGGGGTCGTTTTTGGTGGTTGGTTTTTTAAGGTGGAAGAGACTTTAACATGTTTCAGTGTCCGAGAGGAGGATCCGGTTGACAAAAAGAGGGTAGGTATACAGGACAGAGACAATGTGGTTCATCTTGAGAGGTTCTGAAAAGGACTGGAGGGGGTCTAAAATGCTTGGCAATGGGTTAACTTCAGGCTGCAGCAAAGAGTGAGGAGAGGTTTGGGACAGAGGCGTGAGGAAAGCGGAAAAGGTCTGAAAGCAGAAAGGTGAGTTGACGAGAAATGTGGTAGAATTTCCAAATTGTGCTGAGGTTCCTATTTCAGGTTGATAACCATTCATCCAGATAGAACGCTCTTTCCCCTTGAGTGACTAGCCCCAGCAGCTTTCAGTAAGAGAAGAAGGTAGAGCCAGGATTTGCTTGGGAGTTGAATAACAGAGAGAAGGGCAAGAGTGTTACTAACAGGATGGGCTGTGGAACCCAAGCTATGGGAGAAGGGATGTGAGGTGGAAGAGGACAGCTCGGTTGGAGCAAGTGTCTCTGGGTGCTGGTGTCATTTTACCTATGTAGGCTGGAAAAGGGACCAGAGATCATAGTAGCTGGCTTCTGAGTGGGCCGACTATGGCTCCTGCAGTCTCAGGACAAGCCCATCTCTACTTTGGAGGTCCTTTTAGTTCCTACTACAGCCCCCAGAAGCCTCCAGTGGCCATGCCTGGACGCACCTGGTAAATACAGAATGGGAACTTAAAGAGGTCCCCCTCCCCATGTGGCAGGCTCTGAACCATGTGCTCAACCACTGCTGCTCATTTCACTCCAAACCTCATGGCCCCAGAGAAATGTGCTGGAAACCACTCGTGCCTGGCACCATCTGGGCCCCTTCTATAAACTTCAGTCCAGGGCCAGGAGGTTTCCAAGACCCATTCAGCCACATGCGTAGTTCTTATTTGAGCTCAGTGTGAATACTGCCAACATTGGGGCCCCTTTGGTGGCCTCTGTGGCGCTCTGAGCACCAGGCTATCTTGGACCTCTCAAGCTTACCTGAGGACATTTTGTATGGTGGACATATCAAGCCTGCTCTGTGAGTACATCCACAGCTATCATACTTACCTCCTCCTAGAGGTTTGAACTATTTGTTTTCATTCATCAAACACACAGAATGGAGAAGGAGGGGAAAAACACCCATGTACCCACCACACAGGTCTGAGACATTTGTTACTTCATTCACCTCTTTATTCCAAGCTCCCTCACATCAGAGTACCAAGAAAAGAGGATGGAGCCCACAGGGTCTAGAGACTGGGGGCTGGGCCCTGCTGGAGCCCCCATCTTCAGCTGCGATCCTCCAGCTCTGCAGAGAGGTCTATGATTGGAGCACACAGGGATGGGATGGTGCCCCAGGGACCTCCAGACAGTACTTCAATTTGCCACTTAGGAGGCCAAGAAGGCCCAGGCCAGGGCACAGGGCCTCTGCCTGAATCCACTGGGCCCCTCGTGTATCTGGCTGGAAGTAGAGTTGGAGCCAGATCCCGCGGGATGGATAAGAGCCTCGGAGGTTGTTGCCCACGAGAAGTGAGCAGAATGATGTTTCGGGAGCTCCTCAGAGACTGAAAAGCCCTCTATAGGTGAGATGGGCCAGAGGTGCACCTTGACCTTGGCATGAACTGTCTTCCCTGGCTGAGAAAAAAAAAGATTTGCTACAGCCAGCTTTTATGAGGGTTTCCCATTCCTAATGTCAGAAAGGCCACAAAATATGAACATCCCACATAGAGGGGCTCCTAAGAGATTAAAGAACTGATTTTCTTAAGCAGCCAAAGTTATTACTGTTGGCCTCTGCACTCTTCATGGCAGTAAGAGCCAGGCTGGCCTTTTACATATTAGCTTTAGTGGGTTTGTCTGAAAGAAGAGCCTCAGGGAAGCGGTTTCCACAGCCAAATGTTCTTGCTTGGGGGGGTG